CTTTCTTCTCTCTCTCTCTCTCTCTCTCTCTCTCTCTCTCTCTCTCTCTCTCTCTCTTTTTCTTTCTTCTTTCTTTTTTTCCTAGGTGGGAATATCTAGGTGAAACTTGCACTAGGAGTAAGGTCCATCTTTGTGGCTGGTCTTACCCACCCCTCTCCCCCGGGAGGGTCCAAAGCCCACCTCTGGCAGCTCTGCCATGCCCCAGAACTGGGAGGTAAAGAACCTGGAAATCCAAGGAGCAGTGGGCCAAGGGGATGATGGGTGAGAATCCCTAATTCACTCCCCTGGAAGGCAGCAGAGCCCAGTAGTTAAAAGCATGAGAGGAAGATAGAGATAGAAATGTGTTCAAATCCTGACTTTGTCACTTGTTAACTGTGAGAAAAAGACATGGCCTCACTTTCCTCCTCTACAAAATGCCCTCATAATGGTTTCTTCTTGCGGAGTTTTTTTGAGGATCAAAGGGGATGATGAAGGGGCAGCCGATCACCAGGACACCCAGGGCCAAAGCTGGCACAGGTGAGGCAGACAGGATACAAGGAGGCAGGAAGGTGGACTCCATTGGCTCCCATTGGGGTGCTAGGTACGACGTTAGATGATTTCTGGCTCCATTAATCTTTGTAGTAACTGTGAGGCTGCACTATTATAAATGCTGCCATGGAAGAGGCCCAGGGAGGCTCCTTCTCAGGAACCATGCATTTCTGAATGCTGGAGCTGGGGTGCCGGCCCACCCTGTCTCACTCACACTAGGCTCTTCCACCCTGAGATGCCTGGCTTGGTGACCCATGGCCAGAGTCTGCTGTCCTGATTTGACCACACAAGGCTAGGGAGGACCTTCCTGCAGGGCTGTGTGGCTGGGGTCATGGTCAGCGGGACCACCTGACCCACGGCCAGCTGGGCCAAGGGGTCCCAGTGAGAGGGCTCCCTTCAGCCTCCTGTCAGACCTAGGGAGGGGTCCGTGGCACCTCCAAGATGAGGGCACCCTGAGTGCCAGCAGGGACCTCATCTCTGTGCAGAAAACCTCAGGTGGGGGTCAGCACCATGGAGAGGAGAGGCAGTGGAAGGAATCAGAAACAACTTGCTGGAATTCAAATGGTATACACACACACACACACACACACACACACACACACACACATATACACACATACACACACAGGCTATTTCTATTTTTCAAAAAAATTATATATACCATAGATAATAATATATACCGTATATTATTCATCCCATATATACATACATATATATAACATTTAGTATATATACCATATATACTTATATTTATATACATATATAATATATAATATGTACCATATATTATATATGTGGCAGATATATATATATTGTACATGATATATATAATTTTTTTATAAAGTGGAAATAGCCTTATTGTGTTTTTTTTTTTCCTTTTCTTCTGATGTTAGAAGTTATGCATTGTCTGAAAGTGGGTGGAATACCTCTGGGCAGACAGCAAGGAATCGCTGAAGGAGAAGGAAGAAGGGAGACTTACTTTTCTCTGTGCCCCCTTTTTTGTATCTTTTACATATTCTACCATGAGCAAATATTCTTTATTCAAAAAATTAACAAATATTTAAAAAAGATGCAAGCTCATTGCACAAAAGTCAAACACTACAGAAGATCAAAACAAAGATCACTGCTAATTCACCATACGTGGGGGCTGCTGGTCTGGTCTTTTCTTGCATGTGCACACACACACACATCCACACCTAGTGTACCTATTTTCTGTAACCTGTTTTTTCCTTATCCCTCATGAGGAGGGACACATCTGGCACAGAGAAAATGCCCTTATAAAGATGCTGCCACACTTGCTCTGTCTCTCTCCTAAATACGGCATAATCAGCCATCACATAGGTGCAGCATAGTTCATTTAAATTGTCTTCTGCTGATAGAGACTTAGGATATTTCCAGTATCTCTCTGTTATAAACAAACCTGATGAACTTTCTTATTTATGAGTGTTTAGAAATGTTGCAATTTTTATAAGCTTCTTAATGTGGACCTATAATGTCAAGAAATATGTTTTAAAGGCTTTTTTTGCTAAACGGCTCCCAGGAAGAGCTATCCCAATCAGCGAGTATGGTTTCTTGCACCCATAGCAGGAATCTCCTCTCCACTTCCATGTGAAAATCTGAAACTTTGCAAGACCTTTGCTGGCATTCACTCTGTGTCCCACAGGTGTTACAGACACACATTGGTTTAGAGATCAAGTCTGGTTCAGTCTGCCAAGCAACCAGAGCTTTTGGGAACAATTGCTTAGACAGAGGTGGTGCAGATATTTTAACACTGGGTTTTCTTTGATCAGCTTGAGTGTGGAATCGCAACCTGTGCCACCCAATCTAATCTAGAAAGTGGCAGGGCTGCGTGTGCAGATCTCTTGGAGTGTTTGTCTGGGAGTGTCACCAGCTTTGCAAACAGGTAGAGGCAGGAGTGGGAAGTAAAAGGCTCCAGGACAGGCCTGCCACAGCGCACTGCTAAGAGCTCACCATGGGCAATTATACTTAGAATTGCGTGTCACTGCTTCTTGGCCCTAACTGCAAATGTGTTTGTCTCTGCTCAGGGGGGCAGAGGGCCAGAAGGGTCCAGACATCTGAGGTAGGGAACTGAGAAGGCAAAAGAATGCCATTTTCCCAGCGTCCCTGGGGAGATCCTCCTCTTTCTATACAATTAACGGGTTGGAGGAGCAGTGAGCGTGCTGCCCTGGGACACCCAGGTTTCAGAGACAGGGTGGGAGCCAGGGTGCAACCCGTCCTCCTACCCTGCTCCAAGGTGCTGCCTCTCCCCAGGCACCATGAGTAAAATCAGCGAAGTCGTGCAGCGGGCCAGAGCCTCCTTCAACTCGGGCAGAACTCGCCCCTTGCAGTTCCGGATCCAGCAGCTGGAAGGACTGCGGCGCATGATGGAGGAGCGGGAAAAGAACATCTTGGAGGCCCTGATGGCCGACCTCCACAAGGTGCTCCCCCGGCCCCATCTCCACACACACACATCCCAAAGGGCAGACCGCCCTCTCAGCAAGGAGCCACGGCTACCTTGGGACAGCGGGACTTTCGGGCGCCAGAGCACGGAGGGCAAGGATGGGACAGGAATAGGAACAGTCACTGCTTGCCTGTAGGACATCTGCTGTGCGTCTGGAGCTCGGCGCGCAGCTCTTTACATGAAACCACACTTAGTCCTCAAAACCCTCTGCGAGTGTCAGGACCCTTTTATAGAGGAAAGTGTGGCTGAAACCATCAGACGCTGAGGTGGGGCCCACCTCCCGCTACCTCCTCAGGATTAGGAGCCCCAGGTCCCCGTGTTCCAGCGCAGGAACCGCAGCTTCTTTTCTAGCATCTGTCTGCCATTCTCTCCTGGCTTCGTTTCCTTTTCCATCCGTCTTGGAGCAGGAGGCTACCCGTTTCAACCATCTCCTTCCGGCATGACATCCCGAACTTCTGGTCTTCTCATTCCTCCAGCCCTCAGCTTCACCCAGGGCCACCTGGTTCTGTACACGGGAACAGCACAGCTTAGCACCCCAAAGGACACCTGTTCTGCATGGCATCTTCCTTCCCTCCCTGCCCCCCCCCCCCTCCCCCATCCATCTTTTACCCTGAGCAAAATCAGACACCTTCAAATTCTTAAACCCTTCACCTTGCTGCCTCCGAGATATTGGGGGCCTGCTATGACCTTGGAGAACGGCAGAGGGCCCTTTGCTGTTGTATTTTAAAAATCTTTCAAGGTTTCTCATCTTAAAACAAACAAAACAAAAAAATAGACTAGAGAACCCACTCTGTTGACTTAACAACTCTGTTTTGCTCTTCACAGCCAAAGTTCAGGGAAGAGCTTTGTGTATTAAGTATAGTATGTTATGCTGTCTGCAGCTCCTCTCTCCCCGCCCTTGCACACTGCTGCCTCCCCACCACTCCAGGAGGATCTCAGCACCCACTTCCTCCTTCCCCTGGCTGAATTTCTCCTGAATTTTCTCCTAACTCTCTCTGGCTGCCTCTTTCCTTTATCCACTTCTTGAAGGTGGTCTTCTTAGGGCTCTGTCTTGGGTTCAAGTGTCATTTTAATCTATAAGTATTCTCAGACACTCACTGGCTCGGTTCCCCTCGGATCACTAATGACGCTCAAATCACTGGCCAGACCTGCCATCCCTTCAGGTACCTTCAACGGGACATATACAAACCTGCCTGGGCCCCCAGTACTGGCAGAAAAGGGCCCTTGCAGACCCACCACTCTAATGGCTGCTCTCCAGCTCTGTGCCTCGTGTCCCTTTTCTGGCCCAGCCCCCTGGGAGCCCATGTGGAATGTGTCTCATCACCCTGGCAGCTGAGCAAGCCCAGCTCTGTTCAACATGCCCACTCATCAGCCCTAGAAGGTACAGATCATGCTCCCATTTTGCAGATTGGGAGACTGAGGTTAGGAAAGGGTAGGCAGGTCGTTTTGGGTCACAAAGCTAAGGAGCAGTAAGCCAAGATCCACATATAGCCAGCCCTGGTGACTACCTGTTCAGAGCTCTGGGGCCAGTGAGCTCACAGGAGCCGTCTCACCATAGAACAAATGGAATGCATACCATGAGGAGATGGCGTATAGCCTGGAGGAGATCAAGTACGTGCTCAAGAAGCTCCCTGAGTGGGTTGCAGATGAGCCCATGGAGAAGACTGCCCGCACCCAGCAGGATGAATGCTACATCCACTCGGAGCCCCTGGGTGTGGTCCTCATCATAGGCTCCTGGAACTACCCCTTCAACATCACCATTCAGCCCATGGTCGGCGCCATTGCTGCAGGTACCATGGGCCCCTTTCTGGGGGAGGCTCACCATCCTCCGCTGTGGAGTAGAGCCAGGGGGCTCAGGCCTTCGAGAAGATGGGTCCTGGTGTCAGGTAGTGGTTTGATGAGTCTGTCTTTCACAGGAGATTGCAGGGACCAAACTATTTAGCCAGGCTTTCTGCCTGAGGCCCAGGCAGGCTCACATGTCCATATAGTACCCCTGCCTGTCCGTGTGTATGGGGCTAGGCAGCTCTCAGATAAGATGGATTAGGGTTTTCTTACCGGTTGGCCCGCTCTGCTCAGGTGCAGAGCATTTCTCTCCCCTTCTTCCTTCTCCCACATCTCATCAATTGCATGGGGCAGATGGTGCAGTTCCTGTGGTGTGTGCCTGTAACTCTTTTACTCACTCCTCGGAGGACATAGAAGGAGGAGAGGGTCTCCAGGCTTGGTCACTGGGAGGGCAGAGCATTGAGGTGGGGCCACTCTGACTCCATGTGCTCTACAGGGAATGCAGTAGTCATCAAGCCCTCAGAGCTGAGCGGGAACACGTCGAGCCTGCTGGCTACCATCATCCCTCAGTACCTGGACAAGGTGAAGTGCTCTCCAGGGTATAAGGAGAACTGTGTTGGGGCCAGGTCTTTGAGGTTGAGAGACAGAGACTTCTTGCAGCAAGGGTCCCTGGTACAGGTAGGGGTGAGGATAGCCGTCCTCTCCCATTGGGGTGAACAGAGCCCCTGAGCCAGGAGAGGGGGTCTACTTGGAAGTGGCTTCCTTGGGCAGGGTGAGGAGGGGCTGTGGTCTTTTCTGAGCTTCGCCTCTCTCCTCACACAAAAGGATCTGTACCCGGTGATCGAAGGGGGAATCCCGGAGACTACGGAGGTGCTCAAGGAGAGATTCGACCACATCCTGTACACCGGGAGCACCAATGTTGGGAAGATTATTATGACAGCTGCAGCCAAGCACCTGACCCCTGTCACACTGGAACTGGGGGGAAAGAGCCCTTGTTATGTGGACAAGGATTGTGATCTGGACATTGCCTGCAGGTGAGCAGGCTTGGTGCCTATCTGAGCTGGAGTGGCCATTCTGGCTGCCTTCTAACTCAAGCAGACTGTAGTTCCACTCTGAGTAACACAGACATTGTCCCTGCCCCCATTGTGCCTGCAGTCCTGGGCAGGAGCTTTGGGGAGGGAGGGCAAAGGGAGGGGAATACCACATTCACAGAAGGGGTGAGGTCAGTCCAGGAAGACTTCCTGCAGAAGAGTGGTCAAACCAGAGCTCTGTCCAACTTCCATATCCCACATGCATGGCCTTCCGGAGTGTGGGACCCTCAGCAGCAGTGACACCTGGCTGTGCAGGACTCGAGAGCATGAACGGAGGGGCACAAAGTCCGCCCCCCCTCCCCCCCCCCAGAAATCTCTCACCAGTCACTGGTGAGGTTAAGATGTGCGGTACCACAGGCCCCTGTGAACATGGTCAGGGACACAGGTCTGCTCAGTCCAGAATCTGAAAGCCAGTGGGCTGCTTAGGGAGCTCTCCTGCTGGAAAGCTCATAGCTCCTGTCTTCTGCCCACCAGAGAGCTGTCCTCCTGCACTCAGCCCCTTGAGCCTTGATCCTGAGCTAATGGAATAACCTCCTGCCTAGAAGAATGCAGTCTAATCTGGTATTTTCACAGACGCATTGCCTGGGGGAAATTCATGAACTGCGGCCAGACCTGCATTGCTCCTGACTACATCCTCTGTGATCCCTCCATCCAGAACCAAATTGTAGAGAAGCTCAAAAGGTCCCTGAAAGTGAGTGTTGGCCCACGGGAATGAGTGAGAGGCTGCAAGGTAGAGAGGTGGGTGTAGACTTTAGAAAATACTGGATTTTTTTTTCTGATCATAAAAGTAATCTATGCTCACTGTAGATAATTTGGAAAAGATCAAAAAGCATAAAGAAGGAAAAAATGCTCCACCCAGAATCCCACCACCCAAAGAGTCACTACTAACTTGTTGGTATGTTTTCCTTTCTGTGAGCACACACACAAGGAATGTCATGTGATGTCCAGACAGCTTTGCAAATATTTCTTTCAGACAGTGCTGTCTCACAGTACTTTATATGTCATGAAAATTGTGGAGCACCCCAGATGTTGTGGCAGGCCAGTAGTTCTTGGTGTTGCTGTGCCATCCTCCACTGCACTGGCCCGATGGTGCCTGTGTGCTCTCCCAGGCCGGGGTCACTAGCAACCTTGTAGCCTTTGGTCATGTCCTTACCTGAAGCCTGTCACCTCTTTTCCACAGGAGTTCTATGGGGACGATGCCAAACAGTCTGGTGATTATGGAAGAATCATTAACTCCCAGCACTTCCAGAGGGTGATGGGCCTCATGGAGGGCCAGAGGGTCGCCTATGGTGGCACCGGGGACATGGCCACCCTATACATAGGTGCGTGCACTCATCCTTTGGAAGAGCACCACCTACCAGGGCTGCTAGGGTTCCTGAAAATTGGCAGCTAGCGGGCACAGATATTTGAAGAGCAGACAACTCCATGGAGGAAATAAATTGCTTTCGCCAGTGGGCCTGGGATTGGCTCTGGGTCTCTTGGTGGGCAGGGGCTTGGCACAGTTCTTGGGAAGCCCCATCTCAGCCCAGAAGCCCCTCTCTCCACAAGGCCCAGAGAGCAGCTTCATCTCCTCCCAACCCCTGCAGCATCAGCAGGGGATTCAGATAGAGGCCACAAGAGCTGCTGGTGTGCAGAGCTGGAGGGCGCCCCAGTGCCTAGGCTTGAGGGTCACTGAATGGGCCCCACTTAGCTTCCAATTTGCCAGGAGACCAAAGAACTCCATCAAGGAGGCCTCGTATGTGGAGTGCAGAGACCCCAGGCTCCCTCTCATACAAGTTAGTCCTTCGTTCTCCCCAAGGTTTTCCAGGATGGAGCCTGGGTGGGTGGGAGGCCTTGCCCTTCTCTAAGCCTTGGCAGCCTCATTTGTAAAGGAATTGAAGGAGGAACCCTGGACTCACTGCATGAGTGAGTGTCTCAGCACCAGCTGACTCTGGCTTGTTTCCTTCTTCAGCCCCCACCATCCTCACGGATGTGGACCCTCAGTCCCGGGTGATGCAGGAGGAGATCTTTGGGCCCATAATGCCCATCGTCTGTGTGCGCAGCCTGGAGGAGGCCATCCAATTCATCAACCAGCGCGAGAAGCCCCTGGCTCTCTATGTGTTCTCCCAAAATGACAAGGTGGTCCTGGGGTGCCCTTCTGCCAGGGTCCTGGGGCTCCCAGGCACAGCACTCATGCAAACAGGATCCAAGGGTCCATAGACTTTGTTTCAAATCCCAGCTTCCCTATTTACTGCTGTGTGACCTTGGACAAGTTACTTAAACTTTCTGAGCCCCTTTCTTCTCAGCTCTGAAATCAGGACAGTAACATCCACCCAGAACATTGAATGAGATGATCATCAACGTAGTGCCCTGCATTCAGTCATGAGAACTGTTGCTGTTTTATTTCCCTACCCAATACTTGATACATGGGTAGAATGGGAGACACCAACAGGGCCTCAAGGGTGCAGACGGCAGCTGGGGCGCTGCCTGCACCAGCTCATAACCTTGAGGTTCCAGGACACACACAGAGAGGGGCTTGGGATGTTTTGAGGTAGGATACTGAAGCCCGGGAATGGGGGCTATTGCAGGTGATTAAGAAGATGATTGCAGAGACATCGAGTGGTGGAGTGACGGCCAACGACGTCATTGTCCATGTCTCCGTGCACTCTCTGCCCTTCGGGGGTGTGGGTGAGTCTGGGGTAGAGCTCACTGTCTACCTGCTCCCTGCAGGTGTTCAGAAAGGGCCGGAGCAGCCCTGGGCCTCAGACTCCCACTAACTTCTCTTGTGTGGGCCTCTGGCCTCTGCCAGCATATCCATCAGCCACACTTAACCTTGAGACTCTAAAGGGCCCTAAAGGTCATCTGGTGCCCTGGGCCTGTTTCACAGAGGCCCTGAAAGAGGCAATATCAGCTGGACAACCATCTAATGGCATAGCTGGGATTAAATTTGTCTTGGGCACTCTCTCTGTTGTCTCCAGTGTGGACACTGAGGTAGGGAGAGGTGCTCCAGGGATCAGCTACCCCCGGGAGGATTAGTTGTATGCAGGGTCTGGGCATTGCGGGGCTTCCTGGGCCTGAGTGACTCCTCCCTGCAGGGCACAGCGGCATGGGATGCTACCATGGCAAGCACAGCTTCGAGACCTTCTCCCACCGCCGCTCCTGCCTAGTGAGGTCTCTGCTGAAGGATGAGCCCCTCAAAGGCAGATACCCCACAAGCCTGGAAAAGGTGAGAGGTGGGGGAAAGGGGGGTGGGGACTGTCAGGAAGACCAGACTGCTAGGAGCTTCTGGGCCTACACAGGACGAGGGCCTCACTGCCCACTGTATCTTCCTCACAGATGACCCGTCACTGAAGCCGCTGTATGCACCTGGCCTCCCTGTGCTGTGCCCTCCAGCCCCTCAGAGAATTGCTCCTGGAGCACCCCCTCTTGCTCCTCTGTGGATCAGTGCATGCCCCCAAGCCCATTCTGACCCAAGCCCTCATCTCCCCAAGTCCTCGCCACCTGGCTCGACATGTAAGACCAATAAAGTTTTCCAAGTGAATGAATGAGTGTGTACTCATGCTTCTTTTGCAGCCCTACACCCACCCATCCTCTCTAGTCCATTCCATCCCCCTACCTTGTTATCATCCTGAAAGCAGTGAAGGGCTCCTCAAGGCCTCACATTATCCCTGGGGCCTCACAGCAGGAGGCACTGGTGTCAAGGAGGAGGCATTTGTCTTCCATCTAGACATTGGAACTTCAGCTCCATTTCCACTGTCTCTAGCAGTGGGGTGACCAAGGAGGCTGAGCCTTGATGACTTAGAAACCAAGGGCCAATGTGCTCCTCTCAAATTAGATTTGGTGTCTAGGGCAGGGGTCCCTAAATGAGACCACAAAGTAGTCTCACGAAACCTCACAGGTGATTTCAGAGTGCTGCTCCTGGGGACAGAAGAACAGGAAGCCAGGTTAGCCTCAGGATCCATAGTGCCCGACAGCTCTTTGTCAGGCAGCAACCAGGTCCAGGGGTCTGGCCTTAGGGACCTGATGAACTTGGAAGGGATCTAGTGAGGACAGTCTGAAGCAGGGCTTTAGTCAGAGCAGAAGTCAAAAATCAGCCCAGTCTGGCTAGCAGATAAGTGGGGGTGGGTGGGGAGAGGCCTGCCGAAGCTGGCCTGCTTGCTAGGTCCCTAAGCAGGTACTCCCTCCCAGCAGCTGGTGTGACAGCTATGGCTGGCCAATCTTTGGAATGAGTGTGATGGTGCTCACAGGAGATTTTACTGTGAAGCACAGCCAACACACAAGGTGTGCCAGGCCCTGCCTTGGGGCCCTCACCCCCAGCTGCCTGTCCCTCCTATGACTGTACCAAGTGTTCTTGTTTCTAGCAAAGGCCTCCATTTGGCCAGGACCCCTGACTCTTCCAACCTTGCCTGCTCCTAACCTTCACACTTGTAATTACCCTCTCTTTCCTCTTTCCGATTTTATGAAACAGTCCCCATTCTGTGCTAGATCATTCCTAGTCTCTAGTATCTAGTATTTTTTTGTTTCCGATTTTATGAAACAGTCCCCATTCTGTGCTAGATCATTCCTAGTCTCTAGTATCTATTATTTTTTTGTTTCCGATTTTATGAAACAGTCCCCATTCTGTGCTAGATCATTCCTAGTCTCTAGTATCTAGTATTTTTTTGTTTCCGATTTTATGAAACAGTCCCCATTCTGTGCTAGATCATTCCTAGTCTCTAGTATCTCACATCTTATTTAATACACCCCCCAAAACAAAAACAAATACAACCCAAGAAGCCTTTAAGCTGTGACCTGTGCTGCATCCACTCTAGTGAGGGGAAGGGGTGGAGGCTGGGCAGAGAGTGAACAGTTTTAGATCACTTAAATGTTTACCTTTGGCATCTGTTACTTATTTTGCAGATATCCAAATAAATGAATAATAACAAAGCCAAAGTCTTCTCAACTCCACTGTCCCTTCAGTTGCTGCCTCATTTCTCTTCTCTCTTTTCCAGCAAGAGACTCATATGGAAAGTTATTGCTCTCGGACTGTACTTCCTCACTTCTACTCATCTCTACCCATCCACGTGAGCCTTTATCACCTCTACTCTGCTAAAACCAGTCTTTTAAATAAAATTTTTAAATATTTATATTTTTTCAGTTATAGGTGACATATAATATTATATTAGTTTCAGGTGTGCAGAACAGTGATTAGACATTTTATAACTTATAGAGTGATCACCTGGGTAAATCCAGTACCCATCTGACACCATACGCAGCCATTGCAATACTACTGACTATATTCCTCATGCTATACTCTACATACATCTCCGTGACTATTTTGAAACTACCGATTTGTAGTTCTTAGTCTCCATACCTTCCGCTAGCCCACCCCCAATCCGACAACCATCAATATACTCTCTGTATCTATGAATTTATTTCTGTTGTTTGTTTATCCTGTTCTCTAGATTCCACATATGACATTTGTCTTTCTCTGTCTGACTTACTACACTCAGCATAATACCCTCTAGGTCCATCCATGTTGTCGCAGATGGCAAGATTGCTTCTTTTTTATGGCCGAGTAATATTCACAATGGAATACACGCACTAATGTCGAATCACTGTTCTGCACACCTGAAACTAATATAACACACACATCACCTCTCCTTTATCCATTCATCCATTGATGGACGCCCAGGATGTTTCCATATCTTGGCTACTGTAAATAATGCTGCAATGAACATATGGATTCACATGTTCTTTCAAAGTAATGTTTTGGGTTTCCTCACATAAATACACAGAAGTGGAATAACTGAGTCCTTCTTTGTCTCTTGTGATAGCTTTATTTTAAGTCTGTTTTGTCTTGTATAAGTATTGCTACCCCAGCATTTTTTTTTGTTTCCGATTTTATGAAACATCTTTTTTCATCCTTTTACTTTCAGACTGTGACCTTAAATCTGAAATGAGTCTCTTGTAGGCAGCATATATAAGGTGATTGTTTTCTTATCCATTCAGCCATACTATCTTTTGATTTCTTATCCGCCAGACTATCTTTTGATTAAAGGATTTAATCCATTTACATTTAAAGTAATTGGTGCTAGATATGTAGTTATTGTCATTTTATTATATATTATATTTTTTATTTTTTTCTCCTTAAATAAGTCCCTTAACATTTCTTATAATACTGGTTTGGTGGTAATGAACTCCTTCAGCTTTCTCTTGTCTGGGAAGCTCTTTATCTGTCCTTTGATTCTAAATGATAGCTTTGTTGGATAGAGTAATCTGATTGTAGGTCAGATTCATAACTTTGAATATTCATAATTTTGAACATTTTGTGCCAATCCCTTCTTGCCTGTAAAGTTCCTGTAACAGTTATATGGAAGCTAACAGATATAT